ATGTTTCTAATTGTGTCCTATTACAAAGAGAATGAAAATAAGAATAGTCACTGAAAGTTTCTGAATTTGGGGGATCAGATAGGAAGAAAAAGTAAATGTTTCATCCTTGTTCACCAAGGTATATCTTACCAAGTTGTTGACAGCTTAAGGGAAAAGATTTCTTTAAATCTGGAAAAAAACATTAAAGAACCCACAATACTTTATAAACAGAGTCATAAAAATTAAAATCATCCTTATCAGTTCATTTAGTCTCATGTTATTAATTCTTGTTCCTCTTGAATCCAGTTTTTTTCCATTAGTTCTTGCAACCTCACGTGAGGATTAAGGGTGATAGGGACAGTGGTAACTCCAAGAAATTCCAAGTTTTTCATTAAAGTTCATATGATTTTCCCAAGGAAGTGGGTGCCTCAATCACCCACTTGTGAAGGTAGAGACTGTGGAAGGTATAGCCACAAGGTACATCCTTACAAATAAACCCAAATTTATCTTCGTTCTTCTACAATAAGAAAACAAGGGGACTTCCCTGGCAGCCCAGTGGTTAAGACTCCATGCTTTCATGGCCAAGGGCCCAGGTTCAATCCCTGGCTAGGGACCTAATATTCCACAGCTTACAAGCTATGCAGCGTGGCCAAAGAAAGTAACAGACCCAAACCTATGTTCAATAATTCAATGGTTCAGTATTTTCTTTAATTTGGAGAGATCTATAATAGATATTCATTACATTTCTAGCATTTAACTTAATTTTGGCAAAACTTTAAGGTTTCAATTTACTGAAAAGATTTGGAAAACTAATTTGAAAAACTCAACTAAAAGCTTTTTACCCTACTTATGTTTATCTATAGAATCCGCCTGCCAATGCAGGACACATGGGTTCAATCCCTGGGTCAGGAAGATCCCCCGGAGAAGGAAATGACAACCCTTTCCAGTATTCTTGCCTGGGAAATCCCATGGACAGAGCAGCCTGGTGGGCTACAGTCCATGGAATCACAAAAGAGCAATTAAACAACATATTTACTTACTTGCTCTTAACAATTATTTAGATTACTTAGGGATACATCATACCAGTTATTTTTCTTGCAAGCCTAGATAATTCTAAAGAGATGTTTGTTTTAACCAACAACCTTAAACTAACTTTTATTCACTAAAAATATCTTAGATCACATAATTCTGAAAAGCATTTCAGTTAGTTTCTGTTAACATTCCTGAGAATTTCAGAATGCCCAATGTTTATGAGCTTGAGGTCAAACTAAATAAAGCTCTTTTACAAAATAATTTTGCAGTACCATCCAGAGGTTACACATACACATGCATATTTACAACATAAATATGTTGATACACACAGATGCAGAGATCTTATAGTTATCAGTATTAGTGAAATACACATCTAAGATTTTTTTATCTGCCCAATCTCCAAATATTCCCCCCCCCACTTTTTTTTTTATGAGAAACAACTGCATTTCAAAGAACGGATCTTAAGTCTCAAAGAAGATGGGAATAGGAAATCTGTATCACAAAGACACAGGTTAAGTGCAGAACAATTCTGTCTCCAAAGTCCCAATATCTACAAGTACTTTGAGATGAACAGAAGAGGTTTGGGGACTCACAAAAAGGAATGACATCCACCCACCTGTTGCTGGGCTGTTTCCCTCTGGGTATATCTAGCTTAGGGTATAAGGCAAAATAAATTCTTACTAGGTGTTGAGTATTTTCAGTTCCTCTAAATGTTTAAGGAAATAATTTAGCACTTTACCCAAAAAAATCCCTGTTTCACCAACTTTGCGAGGGACCCATATGGGGCCATTTTAGTTGATGTTGGAAAACTTGCATAGGCCCTTAAAAACAATTTCTTTTCCAGTGTCCCAGTTGTTCACAACTCAAACACTGATCTCTGGGCCAGTTTTGATAATGAACCCCCAAAAATGTGAAATCGGGAAGGCTGAGACATTGTGTTAAATATCTTTTCTAGGTTTAATTTTTCATTAGACTTCTGCAAGGACTCTTCTAGTGAATTATTTTGAAATTCTGAAAGCTTTTGGAGACTTCTGCTTATGAATTAAATCAGGTATTCCATTTGGTTTGTTTGACTTGGGAACCCTTGTTTTTAAGGGTACTTATTAAGTGACCTAATTGTGTCAGGACATTCTTCCTAATGTAATTCTAGGTTGATTTTAGTAAAGCTTTGTCATTTTGCTAAATAATTGCAGCTTCCAGGATTCATAACTGTTAAATATAAAACAAGTAGGTGTGCTGGAAGACAGTGTGCTCAACTATTTGGACATAAAGGATTTATGTCCATTTCTTTTAGCCAGACCTTTGGTTTTCTCAGAGCCAAACTAATACCTAAAGGGACTTGTGGTGGGGTTGGGAAGGATGGGGTATTTCACAGTGTATCTTGTTGCACAGTTTTCTTGAGGTTGGCAAGTGACCGAGATGTCAGTCTAACCCATTCTGTGACCAACTTATCCTAACATGGGCGTCCCCGGGTTAGGTGATGACCATTCTATCAACTTTAAAATGTCTGACCTGTACCCACCAATCTCTGCAGCCTTTTGGCTTCTGAGATTGCCATGAACAATGGCCTTTACTTCAGGTGCACATTTAAAAAATGCACAGTAACTAAAAAAAGAAAATAGAGACTGAAGAAAGGTCTGAATCAGCAGACCTCAAAGAATGGGGACTGCAGACTGATGCCAAGCAAAAGGAAAGCTGCAGCTGTCACAAGTCGTTCTCAGCAGGGAATCTGGAAAGGATTCCAGATGGGGAGATAGATATCAAACCAACACAGTTCCCAATATTGAATCTAGAGACAGAAGCAAGAGACTAATGAACTGTGGAAAGCCAATTAGATCATGAGCTCAAACATACAAAGTATGGACCTCAACCAAAAGGAACTTACCAATGGCCCTCAGAAAGAGCAAGAAAGACAACGAACTCAAAAGAGTTCACAGGGTGCCATGCCTGTGTTTCCCACTGTCCCTGAAAGCCATTAGAAGTTCACTTCAAATCTCATTGCTACCACCTGTTAAAAACTAAAATTCAATGAGGTAAATTTGAAAATGTATTGGGCTTTATTAGATGATTCATCATGGGCAGATAGCATCCCATCAAGCAACTATAAGAGGGCTCCCAGTACCACACTTGTTTTGATTACTACTGCTTAGCAGCATAGTTTTTTGGATTCAGGGAGTGTGACATGTCCAACTTTGCTCTTTTTTCTCAACGTTATTTTAGCTACTAGGGTGGGGTCTTTTGCAATTCCACACAAATTTTAGGATTAGTTATTCAAGTTCTATTAAAAAAATGCCTTTGGTATATAGATAGGGACTACATGAAATCTGTAGACTGCTTTGGATTTTGGAACATTTTAACAATATTAATTCTTCTAGATCAGAATCATGGATTTATTCTCCTTAACTGTGTCATCATCCATTTCTTTCATCAGTATTTAAGAGTTTTCAGAATACAAGTCTTTCACTTCGTTGGCTAAATTTATCTTTAGGTGTTCAATTCTTTTTGATGCAATTGTAAGGGAGATTGCTTTAATTATTTCTCTAATAGTTCATTAGTGTGTAGAAATTCAATCAACCTTTGTATATTAATCCTACAACTTTACTGAATGGCAAAATTTTTTTATTCTACAACTTTAGTTCTAATGGTATTTTAGTGGAGACTCCAGGGATTTCTATAAAACATCACCTGCAATTAGTGACAATTTTACTTCTTTCCAATTTGGATGCCTTTTACTTCTTTCCTTGTCTAATTTCTGTGGCTAAGACTTCTAATACTATATTGAATAAAAGCAGGAAGAGTGGGCATCTTGTCTTGTTCTTGATCTTAGAGGAAAAAGCTTTCTCTCAGCTTTTCATCACTGAGTATGTTACCTACGAATCTGTCATATATGGCCTTTACTATACTGAGGGATATTCTCTCTACACCCACTTTGCTAAGAGTTTTTATCATAAATGGATGCTGAATTCTGTAAAATGCTTCTTCTGCATCTACTGAAATGATCATATGATTTTTATCAGTCATTTCGTGATGCAGTGCATCACATAATTGATTTGTGAATGTTAAAGCATCCTTGCATCCCTGGAATGAATCCCACTTGATCATGCTGCATGATCCTTTTTAAAGTATTGTTGGATTTGGTTTTAGTATTTTGTTGAGGATTTTTGCATCTACAGTCATCAGGGATATTGAGTTGTAATTTTCTTTTCTTGTAGTATCAATTCTTTTGTTTTGGTGTCATGGTGATGCTGGCCTCATAAAGTGACTTTGGAAGTGTTCTTTCTTCTTCAATTTTGTTTTTGTTATTTTGAGAAGGATGGGTATTAAACATCTTTAAATGTTTGGCAGAATCACCTGTGAAGCCACCTAGATCTGGACTTCTGTTTGCTGGCATTTGGTGGGGAGGGGTATGGAATACTAATTCAATTTCATTACTAGTAATTGGTCTATTCAGATTTTCTAATTTCTCATGATTTAGTCTTAGAAGACTGCATGTTTCTAGAATTTATACATTTCTTTTAGGCTGTCTAATTTGTTGGCATATAACTATTCATAATGTTCTCTTATGATCGTCTGTATTTCTGTGATATTGATTGCTTTCTTTTCTGATTTTATTTATTTGGGCTCTTTTTTTCTTAATAAGTCTGTCTGGCTAAAGATTTGCTGATTTGTTTATTTTTCCAAAGAACCAGCTCTTAGTTTCATCAATCTTTTCTATTGCCTTTTTAGCTGTTATTTCACTTATTTCTGCTCTGATCTGTATTATTTCTTTCCTTCTACTAACTTTGGGCTTTGTTCCTCTTTTTCTAGTCTTTTGAAATGTAAAGTTAGATGGTTGAGAATTTTCTTGTTTCTTGAGGCAGGCCAATATTACAAAGAAATTCCCTCTTAGAAACTGCTTTTGCATCATTCAGCATAAGGAAGAGTACCCTAAAAGTATGAGGAAAGTTAGCACAGCTATCATGCTATAATCAAATCAAGCAAACACTTACAAGGTCATTCATATTAGTTTGGCTGGCTGGATTAATTTCCTCCAAAAATTCTAAGACATAAAATGTGTATCTGTCCATAAGATGGACTCCAACTGCAGGATCAGGTTGATGCTATGAAAAAGCAAAAGAAAAAAGTACGTCTAGTAAGAGATATGATCATTAAAACAAAGTATTTAAATTATAATCAAAATGTCCATCTAAGATATAAAGTCTAAGAGTACAAAATAACATACATTTATAATTTTCAGAAATAGCTACATATTCCAACAATGCCATTTACAAACAGGAAAAAAAAAAAAAAAATGTACCTACCGAAAGTGAATCTTCTCCCACTTGGCTACTAGCTAAAGCCATTATGTTAGGAGAATAAAATCTCTCATACATGGATGCTCCTTGACAAGTATCAATAATAAATAGTAGCTCATTGTATCTGAAAGAAAAGTGATAGTATCTTTGACATGAATCATGCTGTTAATCATACATTGATTAATATTTTATAATACTTCCATAAGATATTTAAGTCATATCTTAATCATTTCAGCAGCTAAAAATTTGAGATTTTTCAATAGAATTCCAAATATATATCTATACTAGAAAATTTAAAGGTATAATCATATCTGGGGAAACTATGTCAACAGAATGCAGTGGTTGTACCACAAAGTGGCTGCCCAAACTCTCTTCCCTTCCCTTATCCATGACATACAACTCAGAGTCTGAAAAAAATGTTCAAAACAAAAAGCACTTCTCTGGCACTCACACAGTCCTAGAAACTGAGCTAGTTTTAGGAAAAAAAAAAAAAATACACACACACACACATATATATATAGGACAGTCACCATACTCAAAGATCTCAAAATCTAACTAGAAGACAGACACGTAAACATGTAACTGAATCAGAATATAATGAGTATTACAAATGTTATTGAGGGCCTACAGCACGCCTGACACTAAGCTGGGGAGGCAGTACAGTCCCTGCCCTCATGCGCATAGAGTCTAACAAAGCCACAAACGTTCCAAGGGCACTGATAAAGAAACAGAGGGAAAGGCAGGTCACAGAAAGGCGATGTATCTGGCAGGAGCAGTGAGAGATGAATGTTCTTTAACAAAGAAAGAACAGCACATTCCAGCAGAGGAAAAAGCCTATGTTAAGGCACCGAAACATAAAAACTAGCAATGTTTGGGGTAAAGGAATAGTATGGTGCAGTTCAGATTTAGAATTAATTTGGTAAAATAGAGAGAAATTAGTTTCAAAAAGGTAGTGTGCTACTTGCTCAATCGTGTCCGACTCTGTGACCCAGTGGACTGTAGCCTGCCAGGCTCCTCTGTCCATGGAATTTTTGAGACAAGAATACTGGAGTGGGTTGCCATTCCCTTCTCCAGGGGATCTTCCTAACCCATGGATTGAACCTGGGTCTCCAGCATTGCAGGCAGATTCTTTACCATCTGAGCCACCAAGATAGGGCCAATCTGTAAAGTATCCCGTGTGAAGTTTGGATCTTATGCTATAAATCTGAAGAAGCCATCAAAGCCTTTTTTAAAGTGAAAGAATAACATAATCAGCTCTACATTTTAGAATGAGCTGCCTGGCTGATGAAGATGAAAATAGAAAGCAGATAATATTTTCTCAGATACTGAATCTAGGTAAACAGCTAACACTACACCCAGAAAGAAAGCATGAATGATATCTAAGCAGATGATAGAAGGTACAATGAATATGACACATTTGTCTTGAGACAAAAATCTGTGGATACTTCTGGGGATCAGGACCATCTAAAGTTATGAGAGGCAGTACAATAAAACAATTAAGAGAGTAAGCTTTGGGACAGGACCACTTGGATGTGAATCCTAGCATGAGCACTTAAGAGCTGTGCAAAGTTTGGCAAGTTATTTAAACTGTGCTCAATTTAGACACTTTTAAGAATGAGAATCATAACGTATCTGCCTCATGGAGTTATTAAAATTAAACAGAACAACAACACATGGCAACACAGTGCCAGTGCCTAGCATACATTCAATAAACATAGCTATGAATAAGATAAAATCAGTACCAAGCAAAAGCTGTCTCAATACTTCTATACATTCTCCTTATGCTTATAATCTAGTATTTAGAATATTTAATTTGTAGCATAGCTGTGTACATATTTCTGTTTTCTACCAGATTTTAAACACTTTGAAGGCACAGTAAGCATCCTATTCCCCTCTGTGCCATATGTTTAGAAGGTAAAGCATAAGCATTTGTTGAGCATAACCAAGTTAAAAGCAATTCAACTGGTACTTTATTTTTTTAATTGATTCTTAATTGGAAGACAATTGCTTTACAATGTTGTATTGGTTTCTGCCTTACAGTGACATGAATCAGCCATAGGTATACAAATGTCCTCTCTCTTTTTAACCTCCTTCCCACCTCCCATCCCATCCTACCCATCTAGGTTGTCAGAGAGCCCCTGGTTGAGATCTCAGTGTCAGAGAGCAAATTCCCACTGGCTATCTACTTTACATATGGTAGTGTTTATGCTTCAATCTACTCTCTCAATTTGTCCCACCCTCTCCTTCCCCCGCTGTGTCCATAAATCCATTCTCTATGTCTGCATTTCTATTGCTGCTCCACAAATACATTCATCGGTACCATTTTTTCTAGATTCCATATATATGTACTAACATAGAATATTTGCTTTTTTCTCTCTGACTTACTTCACTCTGTATAACAGGCTTTAAGTTCATCCACCTCACTAGAACTCACTCAAGTCTGTTCCTTTTTATGACTGAGTAATACTCCATTGTATATATATGTACCACAGCTTCTTTATCCATTCATTCATTGATGGATATTTAGGTTGCTACCATGTCCTAGCTGTTGTAAACAGTGCTGCAATGAACACTGGGGTAAGTAAAAGTCGCTCAGTCATGTCTGACTCTTTGCGACCCCATGGACTATACAGTCCATGGAATTCTCCAGGCCAGAATACTGGAGTGGGTAGCCTTTCCCTTCTCCAGGGGATCTCCAAACCCAGGGATTAAACCTAGGTCTCCCACATTGCAGGCGGATTCTTTGCTGAGCCACAAGGGAAGCCCAAGAATACTGGAGTAGGTAGCCTATCCCTTGTCCCACAGATATTCCCAATCCAGGAATCCCGACCCAGGAATTTAGAATTGTCGTTTTCTCAGGGTATATGCCCCGTAGTGGGATTGGTCAAATGGTAGTTTTGTTCCCAATTTTTACGAAATCTCCATCCTGTTCTCCCTAATGACTGTAACCATTTAGGTTCCCACCAACAGTGCAAGAGGGTTTCCTTTTTTCTCCACATCCTCTTCAGCATTTATGGTTTGTAGATTTTTTGATGATGGCCATTTTGACTGGTGTTGAGGTGATATCTCACTGTAGTTTTGATCTGCATTTCTCTAATATTTAGTGATAATGAGGATTTTTTTCACATGCTTATTAGCCATCTATATGTTCAACTGCTCATTTAAATTCACTTAAGTCCACATAACAACTTTCAACTAAAAGAGTGCTTACCACAGATTACTAATAATATATCATTGCTAATGTGAGCTGCTACAAATTTTATACTAATTTCAGCATTTTTCCCAAAGAAGAAATAACATGTTGTCATCACATGAAGAGTCCAAGAATGTGCAAAAAGTAAGAATAAATACAAGATAAGAAATAAATGTATGTTCACAATCCCCCTAAATAATGGGGTACTTGGTTATTAGGAATCTTATTTTCTTCAAAAAGGATGAGAAATAATAAGAGAGATGATCTTAAAAGGTGAACTTTTTCCATGCTCTTTAAGAAATCTAAATTTTTCCTTTAAAAAAAATTCAGTTCATACTTCTCTAAAACATAATAAAACTACCACTATAGTGTGTAATTGCTAAAAAAAAAAAATATATAATTCAGTTCAATAGAAACAACAAACATAAATCTAAAGTTAGAAGAAGTAACATAAAAATAAGTTTAAATCTCACAAGATTGTAAATCTACTAACCATAGAAAAATTGGGTACTAATTTATCTTATGAAAAGTAGTCATTTATTACCGTCTTTTCTGCCACATTTGTTCAAAAGCATCTGCAAGTTCTATGTTGGTAATTTCTTCAGAATCTTGAAATTTCAAGAAACCATTTCCACCATGTCCTTATAGGAAGGGTCCGAAAGATCAAACAGACACTTTTTTAAAATGCAAACTGCAAACATCTAGATATTAACATTCACTTCATTCATGGCAATATTTTAATATCACTTGTTATTATATACTCTATGGTTAAAAGTACTTAATTTTTCTACTATACCAATTAAACAGAATAATGATAGACTGTGTAAAATATAGTAGATATATATTTAAGAGCTTTCTTATCATTCAGTTTTATAAAAGCATATTTATACTTTTTCACTGGTTCCATTATTATGTCAGAAATGAGTTTCCATAGATAAACATTTCTCAAATACCAGGCAAACACTTTTGGTGAGAAAGGAGTTGAAGACACTAGCTAGTGCCTTAGTCAGCAAGCACTGTTCACAGTGTATACTTGAAATGTTGTAACTCTAGGAAATGCAGTTTTCACCTTAAAAATTATGTTTTTATAACCATCAGCCACTGTACTATGAGAGCTGACCATAAGATCATGACATTCAAAATGCATGAGAGAGCCATGCTCTCTGTCTGGATACAAACGTTAGCTTTACGGCTTAATGACTGTGTTACCTTAGGCAAATAACATTTCTATGCCACAGTTTCCTCAGCTGTAAAGTAAGAAATGTATGAGTAAGACCATCATTAGCATGCCAATATAGGCCTTTTGTGCCAATTTTAAAAGGTTCTTCCCACTGTCTATCAAAGTAGAAAAACCTATCTTAGTGCCCCTTCAGAATATAAGCAGTCCTATGAGCTTAACCGTGGTTAGTATATGCCTTTGTGGGATAAAAAATATTTCCTCCCTCATTAGACACAACTCTATAGCAGGGCACTCACCACTCTGGCAAACTTTTTCTGTAAACAGCCAAGTAGTAAATGTTTTAGGCTTGTGAGTCATTTGGTCTCTGCTGCAACTACTGGACTCTGCCATATATTTTGACAATGTTTAAAACAAATTTATATATTCTGAGAATATATAAAACAAATAGATGCAACTGTGTTTTAATAAAACTTTATTTTGTAAACAGGCAGCCCTTCTATGGGCCGTGGTTTGCCAGTTCAATCTTGAACACTGGAACTTCTCCCAAAACTGCAGTTATCCTGAAAGAGTACCAACAGACTGAGAAAAAGTCTGGCAGCCCATGTCATAGGAAGGCTTGTAATTATGATGATATAATGATAAAAAATGGCAATAGGTATTGTTTATTGAGGTTTACTGTACACCACGCAATATTCTTAATCATTGTGTACATTAATTCATTTCATTCTCACAACCTAAAGATTTTGGTGCTGATTTTCAGGGCTCTCACGTATGACTTATGGGTTGTGCACTGCACATAAGTGTCTGACTAGAGTGGTGAGTGCCCTGCCATAGAGTTGTGTCTAATGAGGGAGGAAATATAAATAAAACCTTTTGCTTAGTACATCAAATAAAGCCAAGCTGCAAGACTATACTTCATCGTATTTGCCACAGAAGAGTGAAAATTTCTTATACATGTCAGGTAGACGAAAATGAAGTTTCCTGACTTCATTAACTCTGCTGGGTTAATTTATAAAGTTTATAAATTGACTGAATTTTTAAAGTTATAAATAAATGCCCCATGATAAAGAAAAGTAAACCACTAGGTAAGAGTCACTCTCTTGCTGAATGACATCTAGAAATCATTCTGCCCCTGTTTTATCATCAGCTGATAAGTAATACACTGTTTTCAAATATCACTTCAAGTTGTTATACATTATGAGAAAAGAGAACTTCATAAGAAACTATTTTAGCCAAAAATAATTTAAGGTATTTAAATTTCCTTCCATGCAAATGCCTTTTTGAAAAAGAGTCAGCATATTCTATCATTAAATATCTAAATTGAAAAATTACCTGTCATATAAATAAGAATATTGCTCCGATCATCAGAAAGAAGACGTTTCGACCGAGGCGTGCTAGATGGAATCCTCCCAGTTAACACCCGTAAAAAATTCTCCACAGTTACCTGAGAAAAAAATTAGAAATCAGATGAAATAGAACTTGGGTAAACCTATCAATTGTTTTTCCTACTTTTAAAAACTCTCCTTCTTCTTTCTCTATGTATTACTCAGCATAAACTAAAAATAAAACTTAGAAATATAATTCAATTAAAATATATTTATTTAAATATACACTTCAAAATAACTTTGCTTCCATTCTTTACAAAATACAAAAAACCAACAAAAAACTAGTTTGGGGAAAACTAAGCTAATTATAAATTATAAATTAAAAGTTCAAATGCTATACAAAGTATTGCCAAAAACTGAAAATAGATTATTAATCTGTCTTTACAGGCAGTTCTTTGGGAAGATATAAAATATAGAAATATAAACAAATTCACCAATATTATAACTACTGCACTTAATACAGTCAATTACAATTAATTACAGTCAAAAATACCTACTTAGTCAATTCTAGATCAACAACAAAAGACAGGTCCATAATAAATCATAAAAATAAAACCATAAGGATAGATCCATAGATAACCCTGATATTATACATCTTTAATTCTTTAATGCATTTTGTTACTTAAATTTCATTAGCGGTAACTTTGTTATGTAAAAAAATTCATAACACTGCAAGCCAGATCTTCCAACCAGGAATTTCTGCATCTCCAGGATGCTTTGAAAGATATTTAAGTTCTTGGAAGTATAATGCTAATTTCAAGTTATATTACACAGATCTAAATTTCAAAAGCAGAAAATCAACCCAGCCTTCTTGTTCAACTCTTCCCTAGGTGAGTATGTAAGTGTCTATGAGTGTGTGTCTGTGAGTGTATGTGTAAGTTGTTTGGTTTACATTTTCTCAGAAGACACCAAAATGGTGTTTCTTTTAACAGGACTTCTTGTTGGCTAACAAAGAAGGGAAGTACTTGGTCTACATTTTACAATGACCAAAAAAGAACAAGAAAAAGTCCAACATTCACAAACATTTAAGTGCTGAACAAACATTTCTGAGTGCCTTCAGAGGGCTGTAAGAACCCGCTAGGTATAAGATACAGAAGATACATGTCCTTAGGGAACTTACAGCCTGGAAAAAGACATTAATTTCTTCAAAACAGGTCTGGGAACATGGGAAACTGTGTCTTACTTTTGGTAGGCTTAGTGAAAGGGGAAGGATTACTGAGGAAGACTTTATCAAGAAAGACTTGAAATGCTAAACACACTATTAAATTTAAAATAAAGTTTCAAAGGCAGAAAATAGAGTACAATGTCTTTTTTTTTAACTTATTTTTAATCATATGTGCATAAAAACACTAGAGGCATATTAAAACTGGTTACCTTTAAGTAGTATCAGTCATTTTAACATTTCCATAGTTAATATATTTACTGAAAATATAAAACTTGAAATTTTAGATCAAATATGAAAAACAAAGAATACACTTACTATAAAAGGAAGTTGATACACTAAACCTCAATAAAATAATACAGAAGCCAAGATAGAGTTGTTCTATCCTAGATACATATATGAAATTTTCATGCGGTGATACTTTTACTCATATATTGTTTTCTTAACATGAATTCCAGAAACTGCAGATTGTCAAAGCTACAGTGACAACCGTACAAAGTTTAAAGAAAAAGAATAAGATTATTTTATTCTACCACTCTGTTAGAACTTAAAAGTGAAAGCTACATTTCAAAAATGTTGCCACATTAAACATTTTACCTCATAACTTCTATAATCCACTTCTACATCATCTCCATACACATTCAGTTCCATATTCTTGTGACTATACACTGTAGCTGGTTTAGGATTTCTAGGGTTGCATGCCATATCATCTGCAAGCATCAGAACAATGTGGCTAGGAAAAGAAAATTTTAGTAAATATACTATTTTGATAAAATCAAAAAGTTAAAAAGATATACTTTATATACGTGCTAAGTCTTCAGTAGTGTCCAACTCTTTGTGACCCTATGGACTGTAGCCCTCCAGGTTTCTCTGCCCCTGGGATTCTCCAGGCAAGAATACTGGAGTGGGCTGCCATGCCCTCCCCTCCAGAGGATCTTCCCGACCCAGGAATGGAACCCATGTCTGTCTCCTGTATTGGCAGGAGGGTTCTTTATCACTAGCACCACCTGCAAAGCCCATATTTTATTCATATCATGTGGCAATTATTTTTAGTCTTTATTAAAAATAACCCCAAACAATTATTGAGCACATATTTAAAAGTGCTTATATTAAAAAAAATTTTTTAATATGTCGCTATGTAGTGTAAGTTTTAAAGAAGAGAAATCAGAACAATCTGGCATGAACTTATCCACAGAACTGGGAGTTACTAACTCAATTTTTTTTCCAACACAGTATACTTTATGCCATGTAGCAAAAGGAAGCTAAGATGAAAGAATTACACTGTCCTCCCCAAACATTGCTTTTAATTTTAGTAATATCTGACACTCTCAAGACTTACAGTTAAACTGTGATAGTCCAAAAATTTTACTTTTCAGAATCGCAAATGCTTTAGTATGAAAACATACAATCCATCAGCAAGTGCAGTCTCTGTACCACAGGAACACATCTCCAGTGCAATCATTCTTCACTGGCTCCACTCCATCCCCCTGAAATCAGCCACCATCTCTCTAGCTGATGCTGGACTAGATGCTGGAATAGCTACCATCTGGCGTCCTGCTTCCACTCCCATCTTCCTGTGGTTCGTTCTCCTTAGAACCACCAGAGAGCCCTTCCTTAAACAAGTCAAATCATTAAACTTTCTCACTTAAAATCTTTCAAGGACTCCCCATTATAATCAGAGGAAAAGAGAAACTCCTTACATGGTCTGCAAGGCTTAATGTGATCTCTGTCTCTCTCTCTCTCTCTCACTTCACCCCTAACAGCCATGCGCACTATGCTCCTTCCACACTATTCAGGAACATGCTAAGCCTTTTCCAATTCAGGGGCTACTGACCAAATTTAGACTTCTTTCCTCCCAAATCTTCCTATCATTCCAATCTTAGCTAAAGTGCTCTGTTCTCACTACATGTTTTCTTTTATACAGGTCATTTACAAATCTGCAATCTTCCCATCACCACCCCTGTCCTTCACTGCTATATCACTCAGGCTTAGAAATACAGCCTGGCATGTAGTAGACATTCAAGAAACACTAACTGAGTGAATGAAACATTTTCATTTTTTGTGTGAATTTTCTTTGAGAGAAAATTACAACGTGTCTCTTAAATGCTTCTCATCTTGATCTTACCACTAAAACGAGTGAACATGAATCAGGCAATTCTTTATTCTACCATATACTTGAGCTTCCCAAACATAAGGGAAAAATTAATATGGCATACATAATTAGTCTGGCAGGAGATAGCAAGAAGAAAATGTTCCTCCGCATATGTTCCAAATACATTAAAGTTCAGAACTGAAACATTGTGATTTTTCTTAAAAACTGGCTAAGTTTCTATTTTGAAAGGGTTCCAACCCTGCCACATTCAAAGATCAGATCTTCAGCTGTTACTGATTCATTCTCACAAAATGGTTAAAGTTATTGCTCTTAAAATGGAAAATATATCTTCTCATTTTAATAACTTAAAATGATTTATATTAAGTTACTAGCAATCATACCTTTTTTGTTATACAACTACTATTAAACAAAAATGAGCTGACCTATAAATCTCAATATAAGATTATTCCTTTAGGCCATGTTTTTGGTTGAAGGTTAAATTCATTCCTTGAAATTAAATGTCAATTTCATAAAGAAGTAATCACTTCAGCATAAAATTATAAATTCAATCAACACTTTTCTGATAGATAATTTTGAGCTTCAATGTAAGTATTATAACCTTTGGTTAACATAATCAATATATCATAAAAAATAATGGTATCTGGAGACAATATATGAAAAACAGGACAGAAAAGAGACTGCACAATGTTGTAAAGTAATTAGCCTCCAACTAATAAAAATAAATGGAAAAAGAAAAAAAAAGAAAAGAGACTGCATTTCAAAAGTTTACAAATTCAACCATATATTCTAATGCATTGTTTCTAAAAGTTAAGAAATGTTCAGAACTCTTGTCTGGAGGAAAAAAAACCTGACTGGGTCCAAGTGTCAAATCATTTATATATGAAAGCGAAGTGTTAGTCATTCAGTCATATCTGACTCTTTGCAACCCCATGGACTGTAGCCCACCAGGCTCCTCTGTCCATGGAGTTCTCCAGGCAAGAATACTGGAGTGGGTTGCCATTTCCTTCTCCAGGGGATCTTCCCAACTCAGGGACAGAACCTGCATCTCTCATGTCTCCTGCGTTGGCAGGCGAGTTCTTTACCACTAGCGCCACCTGGGAAGCCTCCATTTATATATATGATACTTAACTATATAATGAAACTAAACTCCTTAGGTTTATATTTCTGATAAAATTATTTGTTGTTATTATTGTCAGTCACTAAGTCACACCTCTGCAACCTCACGGACTACAACACACCAGGCTTCCCTGTCCTTCACTATCTCCCAGAGTTTGCTCAAATTCATGTCCATTGAGTCAGTGATGCCATCCAACCATCTTATCCTCTGCCATCCTCTTCTCCTTTTGTCTTCAATCTTTCCCAGCATCAGGGTCTTTCCCAATGAGTCAGCTCTTTGCATCAGGTGGCCAAAGTACTGGAGCCTCAGCTTCGGCATCAATCCTTCCAATATTCATTATATTCAGGGCTCACTTCCTTGAGGATTGACTACTCTGATCTCCCTGTAGTCCAAGGGACTCTCAAGAGTCTTCTTCAGCATCACAGTTCAAAAGCATCAATTCTTCAGCTCTCAGCCTTCTTTAAGGTCCAACTTTCACATCCATACATGACTACTAGAAAAATCAAAGCTTTAACGACATGGACCTTTGTCAGTAAAATGACGTTCTCTGATTGTTAATATGCTGTCTTAGGTTTATAAAACTACAAATGAACACAAAATTATAAATTAGATTCTAACAAATCTACCAAACTAATAATACTCTAAGAACACTATGTGAAGGATGATACTATTTTGCTAAAACTAAATGACTGCTGGCTTCCCTGGTGGCTCAGACAGTAAAGCGTCTGCCTGCAGTGCGGGAGGCCCGGGTTCAATCCCTGGGTCGGGAAGATCCCCTGGAGACGGAAATGGCAACCCACTCAAGAATTCTTGCCTGGAAAATCCCTTGACAGAGAAGCCTGGCAAGCTACAGTCCATGGGGTTGCAAAGAGTCAAGACACAGGTAAGGAACCTCACTTCACTTCAAATGACTGCTGATGTATTTAACAGGAGAAAGAGATAACTTCAGGCCTGGTTCTACATTTCGTTTTTTTCTGTATTTTGACATCCACACAACAATATAATTTGATGATACGAAAACATCTGCTCACTAAAGTATTTGCACAAAATGCAATTCATAACTTCTAGGCTCTGTTTACTGTTCAGAATAATCAGATCTGATATTTAACTAAGTCTTTGCCAACAGTCTTTGAACAACAATTATCATAAGATCTAACTTGTTGTCTCCGTAAAGTGTCTTTTTCACTGAATATCAGGCTAGCATCACAGCAGTTATTTAAGTCTTCACTGTGAATATGTTAAACAATCACTGCTAGAATCAAGATCAAAAAAAAAATCTACACTGAAGACATGCTACTACATTCCTATAAATAATTATAGCAAGTTGCTTTTGGTTACCTTATTAAAATTAAGATAAAAATCCCTCAAATATATCCAACTGATAGAAGAATATGATATTCTTACACTCTGGAAATCCTATACTACCATGTGTTATGACTCAATTCTCTCTCACTTACTTAAGGTCCTGCAGAACCTACATCACACAAGCATAGGGTAATATGGCCTTCTCTCAATACAAAACCAAAAGAAAAGATAAGCACTGAAATTGTATAAAGTTCAAACTGAGTTTGAAACAAATACAGTGCTTAATTATATAAGTAGTTTCCATACTGTTTAAATCACACATTTCCCCTTGTCAGTTAAAAAAAAAAAATTAGAGGACACACCCATATATGTATCTACTAATGTGTTAGTCATATGTAGTCACTACTTCAAATATATATAATAAATACCAGTGAAGCATAACTTCTTTCCTTTATAGATTAAAAAATAATAATAAAGAAACTGCATTTTCTTCCCTTGCCACTATTTGTTGTCTGATCTAACAGAATCATGATCATGCTGAAACAGATTTTAAAGATCAATACAAAAATAAAATTTTAAAACCTCTCCAAAGACATGAAACCCAATTATAGAAATGTGTGAGAAGAAAACAATCCAAAACAAATACTTTCCCATTATTACACGTGCCTAACATCAAAGGGGGGCTTCCCTGGTGGCTTAGTGGTAAAGAATCTGCCTCCCAACGCAGGAGACGTGGGTTTGATCCCTGGGTCAGAAGATTCCGTGGAGAAGGAAATGGCTACCTACTCCAGTACTCTTGCCTGGGAAATCCCACGGATAGAGAAGCCTGGCGGGCTGCAGTCCGGGGAGTCGCAGAAGAGCGGGACACAACTCAGCGACTAAACAACAACATGGAAGGAACAGGTAAGCCCTGCATCAGGGCTGCTCAGCCATTCTTTACCCTCCCCTCTGAAATTCATCCTTGGCCCAGTCAGGAAGCAGTAACCAATGGGTACAAAAATAAATTTTACAGAGATAAAAAATTTTTCACTGCTCTAGACAATTAGAGTACAAAGCTTCAAAAAGCATACCTTCTCATTTGTAACAGGCTGGTAGTACCATAATAAAAATTTTTCACTAAATGAAATTTAAATAAATTACTGTATTGGTAAAAAGTACTTTTAAACAATTCACTGAAAATTGCTATACATACTATAGC